CAAGAATGAAGATATACAAAGAACATTACAAACTGTGTACATAAATTTGCTCTATATCGCTCAATTGACATGCCATTATTAAATAGGTGGTTAGGCACATTTTACCATCGCAGATCAACTTTAAATTTCGTTTGAGCACATTACCATACTGTTAGGTACCTCCTCCCGTACCTTTTCTAGCTGGCCTGCATGCACTTGCGTACGCACCTTTTGTCTCCTTTTGTTCCGTTGGCCTGGGTAGCTACTTGCGCGCCCATATTTGCCATAGCTACCCAGGCCCTTTATCTTGCCGTTCAGACTCTCTCTCTTTTCTCACTCGTCAATAATCACCATGTAGTCGTTTCGTTCGTCTTGGTCTCTTGTCTCGTCGTCTATAATAAATGTCGTTCCCACTAACTTGTTCCCGTTGTCAGTCGTCCTGTTTCGAACTCAACATTGGCGCCCGATTATTGATCGACCCACGACCCTGAGATCATCCCATGCCCAGCCGTCCTCAACCGCCATTCGTCTCGTCTATGTCAACCTCGTCTCGTCCATGTCAGTCTCGTCTCTCCTACGCCAACCTCGTCTCGTCTCTATCAACCTCGTCTCTCCTACGCCAACCTCGTCTCGTCTATATCAACCTCGTGTCGTTCAAGCCATGCAGGTCAGCTACCTTTCTCTCTTTCTTTTTTTTGTTTGCGTTCCTTCTTCATCAAATTTATTTTCGTGAATTTTTTTGTAGTGTGTGCGCGCGGGTGTCCTTCATTAATATTAGGGGTCCGATCATGGTGAGCCACGCTCTCTTATTTATGTCGTATAATTTAAAGTGTAACTAGGCTCTATTAGCCGTGCAAAATACTAGTCATCAGAATACAATTCAAGTCCCTCGTCGAACTCCAATAGTTATTTTTTGTGCCATGTTTTGAAGGGGCGTTTGGGCCCGTTGTTATTGGCAATGTACACACTACAGTATGAGTAGTACAGGAACGTTGACGGTTGTAATGATCTGTAGTGCATTTTTTAGTAAACACTTTTGTGAGGCCCGTGCGTTGTGTGTGTGTGTGTGTGTGTGTGTGTGTGTGTTTTCTCCACCAGTCATTTTTTTTTAAATCTTTTTCTCTCTTTTTTTTCTCTCCGCGAGGATGCGGGATTTTTTTTCATGGAGGGGTGGTTACCTCCTCCCGTACCTTTTCTAGCTGGCCTGCATGCACTTGCGTACGCACCTTTTGTCTCATTTTGTTCCGTTGGCCTGGGTAGCTACTTGCGCGCCCATATTTGCCATAGCTACCCAGGCCCTTTATCTTGCCGTTCAGACTCTCTCTCTTTTCTCACTCGTCAATAATCACCATGTAGTCGTTTCGTTCGTCTTGGTCTCTTGTCTCGTCGTCTATAATAAATGTCGTTCCCACTAACTTGTTCCCGTTGTCAGTTGTCCTGTTTCGAACTCAACAATACCATACCAACATTTTGAGAGAAAAATAATTTCGCCAAAAAGTGCCATAGGGTGGTTTCTGTAGTCCCTGGCTCATATTTGTGTCACGTAAAATACACACCGGAAGTAGTCACTGATGAATTCTGGAGAAAAACGTTTTTGTCAAAACAAATCGGTGTCTGTTGGTAGTCGATTGGTTGTGTTTCTAACAATAATTGCTATCATGTCTCCGAGAAAAATGAAATACAGTTGCGAGACAAAAAGACAAGGTTCGTGTGAGACCGGGCCAAACTGAGTTTTCCACATGTGTACGAACGCTACTACCCTCAAGATCTAAAGAGCAGAATATAATATGCAGCTCCTCATATAAGGCAGTAGGACGTACATGTAAGTAGATCAGACCCACCACAAAGTGGACAAAGACCAAAAATCCCATTCACTGTATCCAAGTTTCCCACGTGCCAGGACAAACTACCTGCAGGTTGCAGCAGGGCTGGAAAAATCCCTCACCTTCCAAGCAGAATTTGAATTGGGGATCCTCTACCTCACATTCACGATCCTAGACCATCCCACTATGCCTACCTGTCTGATACCAAGGCAGTGCCAAAATCGTAAATGTACAAAGTAAGCAGATGTAACCGCATGGATTGCAATGCACTCAATTGCATGTGTTATTGTATTGACTAATCAATACTTATCAGGTGTTTAGAGGGGTGCTCACTAACTAATTTTGTTTGCTAATGCTTCATAAAATGCAACTTACCTCGTCAGCTTGGTTTGGATTGGCTTTGCTGTCCAGTAGATGCCGCATACAATCGATACGATTCTGCTGACAGGCATAGTGAAGTGATGTCTTTCCCCCCTATAACACAAGTATATGTTCAGCAAGTAATCAACAAAGAACATGGGTCACTATGAGAAATTATAGTACACATTGCATGCCACATGTCCGTCTGTGGATGATACAATAGGAAGCAGGGCAAGCGACAGCTTTGAACCTGTTGATTCCAGAAGACTTCCAAAGTCATCACCAAATGTACTCTCCGACTAACCTCATTCACACAACCAGCAACATGACACTCGGAGTTAGGGCACATACTGATTTCTTCACATACAAAAGAAAACTTCTTCTGACTTGCATAACTCAGGGTAAAACTGGTGTACCACTCTGATGGTGTGATTACTGCAGTATATTTTACAAATGAGACAGAGAAGTTCTCAGTCACATGTACTTGTGTGCCCACAATACTGTCTGTACATGACATAGTCTCTATCTACACTACCTATCACAATAATTGTAGAACAGAATGTTCACCAACATACATTATCGGAAAGGTTTGGATTGACTTTCCTGTCGAGAGATGCTGCATACAGTCGATATGACCCTGGCCACAGACATGTGTGTGAAGTAGTGCCTTTCCCCATTATAACACAAGTGAATTTTCAGTAACTACTAGTAACGAACAAAGAACATGGCTACTTGTGTGTCCACTATATTACATGTCAAGATTACATAGTATACACACTACACCCGAGAGACCTCTTTTGGGTAGTGGTGTATAACTGTGTGAAACATGAAGTTGCTACAGTGGAGTCTGAACACCCTGAGGAAGGTGTATATACACTATCTATCACAATAACGGTCAAGCACATGTTTTCAACATACATTATCGTAAAAGGTTTGGATCAACAAAATGAATTAGTTCATCTCATGGCTCCCCTTCACATCCTATTTTTTCCGACAAAATTGTGCAGTGGTTAAGACCATTGCAGCACAGGGTAGCAATTTCACAGTTTTGTTTGTTAATACTTCATGATATGCAACTTACCTTGTCAGCTTGGTTTGGATTGGCTTTGCTGTCCAGTAGATGCCGCATACAATCGATATGGCCCCGCTGACTGGCATAGTGAAGTGGTGTCTTTCCATACTATAACATAAGTATATGTTCAGCAAGTAACCAACAAAGAACATGGCTCACTATGAGAAATGATAGTACACATTGTATGCCACATGTCCGTCTGTGGATGATACAATATGAAGCAAGGCGAGCGACAGCTTTGAACCTGTTGATTCCAGAAGACTTCCAAAGTCATCACCAAATGTACTCTCCGACTAACCTCATTCACACAACCATCAACATGACACTCGGAGTTAGGGCACGTACTGATTTCTTCACATAACAGTTTTCATTGAAAGAGCGTAGGGTCCAAGCAGGAGCTGTAGTGAATTAATTTTCATGCTGAAGCAGTCATCAGACAATTGGCAGTGGGAAATAATTAGTGCCAGACTCAGAAAAGCTCTTCGCACGGCACATTGAACACTTGTTCAGCAGTTTACCAGCATAGTCTTTGATTTCTTCACACAGTTAGTTTTCAGGAAATGCTTTAGCAGAGTATATTGAAATGGCTGTTCCATAACCTGCCTTATCTCCTTGATCTGGGTTAGCTCCAGCTTGCAGTAGATGTAGAACGAAGTCGGCCTTGTTCTCAATAGTGGCATTGTGAAGTGGCGTCCGTTCATCCTGTAGTACAGCAATAGGTACAAGCAGTGATAAACAAAAGAAAACTTCTTCTGACTTGCAGCACTCAGGGTAAAACTGGTGTATCACTCTGATGGTGTGATTACTGCAGTATATTTTACAAATCAGACAGAGAAGTTCTCAGTCACATGTACTTGTGTGCCCACAATACTGTCTGTACATGACATAGTCTCTACACTACCTATCACAATAATCGTAGAGCAGAATGTTCATCAACTTAAATTATCGGAAAGGTTTGGACTGGCTTTGCTGTCAAGAGATGCCGCATACAGTCGATATGACCCTGGCCAATGTTATAGTGAAATGGTGCCTTTCCCCATTATAATACAAGTGAATATTCAGCAACTACTGTAGAGGCAGAACATTTCGTAGGTCAATAATTTCGTCCAACTCCAAAGAAAGGGAGTTCGTCCGGCTGTAAATTTCGTCCATGGATCATGTTATGAAATGATGTGTTGTGTTCCTGTGTGATGTCATTCCCCAAACTGTCTCGTCCAGTCGCGTGCATGTGTGATATGAGCATGCGCGATTTTGTAGTCGACAGTCCTTTTGTCAGTCTTCTTGTTCGTCTCTGGCAGAGTAGTCTTTTTCCGTAATATCAATATAAATAATGTAAAACAAACAAGTTTTGTCCTTTGTGTCCTGCATCCCGGGGAACGGAATGGCTGAGATTCCGTTACAACGTGGTGCCTTAACCCGGGACGCAGAGGATGAGTTAGTTCGTAGTGAGTCTGTTTGTCGTCGTCGTCAACAACAAAGTAAAACTATAAAGTATGCGTGGGAATGGAGGAGGTCAGGAGAGGAGCTGATGGGAGCGCAAGACGGTGGAAGAAGAGGCAGAGCAGGTGGTTGGACCGGCAGAAGCTGGGGACTGGAGCCTTGGACGGCAGGTAGCGCATGGAGCGTGTGGCCGTGGCTCGCCAGAGGCCAGTGGATGAGTCTGGCATCACCGACTGTGTGTCATCCTTTGTTGTTCGTCTTGTTGTTGTCTTGCTCGCTGTGTTGTCTGATCATGTTTCTCTCGCTGTTGAGTTCGTTGCTGTGTTGTTGAGTTTGGTTGTCGGTACGTTGCTCTTCTCGTCGTTCTGTTGTTCTGCATTAATTTGCTTTGTAGATCTATTTTGCGCTGTTGCGCGCATGTTGTTATTTGTTGGAGCTTTGGCTCTCATGTTTCGGTTGGCCTTGTGTGCCTGAGCTTAGAGCGTCGGCTCTTGTGTTTTTTGGTTTGGCCCTGTAGTGCGGCTTGGTTGAGAGCGTCGGCTCTTGTGTCTTGGTTTGGCCCTGTGTCGTGGCCCAGTTTTGTTGTGCTACAATGTAAGCTGTTGGTTGGTTTTGGTTTTTCTGCTTTGCTGTGGTTCCTTTTGCTGTTGTGCATGTGGAACGTGGTGTCGGTTTATTATTTTGTGGAATGTCATCAAGGGGGCAGGTGTTATGAAATGATGTGTTGCTTCCTGTGTGATGGCATTCCCCAAACTGTCTCGTCTAGTCGCGTGCATGTGTGATATGAGAATGCGCGATTTTGTAGTCGACAGTCCTTTTGTCAGTCTTCTTGTTCGTCCCTTTGAGTGTTGTCTCCATTTCCGTAATGTCAATATAAATAATGTAAAACAAACAAGTTTTGTCCTTTGTGTCCTGCGTCCCGGGGAACGGAATGGCTGAGATTCCGTTACAATCATGAGAGTGCATTGAAAAGCTGGACAAATCGACATTAGTACGGCATTTAATTTAGGTTCGTGTGAGACTCGGCCAAACTGAGTTTTCCGCATGCGTATGAACGCTGCTCCCCTCAAGGATTAAAGAGCAGAATATAATATGCAGCTCCTGATATAAGGCAGTAGGATGTAAGTAGATCAGACCCACCACAAAGTGGACAAAGACCAAAAATCCCATTCACTGTATCCAAGTTTCCCACATGCGAGGACCAACTACCTGTTGGTCGCAGCAGGGCTGGAAAAATCCCTCACCTTCCAAGCAGAATTTGCATTGGGTATCCTCTACTTCACATTCACGATCCTAGACCATCCCACTATGCCTATCTGTCTGATACCAAGGCAGAGCCGAAATCGTAAATGTAAAAAGTCAGTAGATGTAACTGCACGGATTGCAATGCACTCAATTGCATGTGTTATTGTGTTGACTAATCAATACTTACCTCATCACGTTGGTTTGGATTGGCTTTGCTATCCAGTAGATGCTGCATACAGTTGATGTCACGCCGCTCATTGGCATAGTGAAATGGTGTCCTTCCATCCTATAACACAAGTGTATGTTCAGCAAGTAATCAACAAAGAACATGGCTCACTATGAGGAATGATAGTACACATTGCATGCCACATGTTCATGTGTGGAGGATACAATATGAAGCAGAGCAAGTGACAGCTTTGAGCCTGTTGATTCCAGAAGATTTCCAAAGTCATCACCAAAATGTGCTCTCCGACTAACCCCATTCACACAACCAGCAATATGACACTCGGAGTTAGGGCACGTACTGATTTCCTCACATAACAGTTTTCAATGAAACAGCGAAGGGTCCAATCAGGGGCTGTTGTGATTTAATTTTCATGCCGAAGAAGTCATCAGACAATTGGCATTTTAACCCTTTACCGGTCTACCATAAGCGAATCGATACTATAGTATCGGTACATTTGGCCCTCATTTTTTTGGGGTCTTGTTGCCGGGAGACAGCTAAAATGGCGCTCTACGCGTAGCTGAGGTCCAAGGCTTTCTGACGATGTACAAAACAACCATGCTTACCATACAAATTTTTGCTGTATCGATCGACTGAAGTTTGTTGAAATTGGAAAAGACAACCATCCGCCATGCGCGCATTTCGAGAATGCGAGTGCATCTCTTGGGGCCGTGTTTGACAAGCGTTCTGAGAGCAGTAACATCACCAGTCCAGGCTGGATCTCCCGGGAGGTTTTGCAGTGTAGTGTGTTGAGAAAAAGACCTCCGTGGAGTCCTGCTAGTTCAAAAAATGTATCGTCCACGAATGAAGAAACAAAATTCTCCAAACAGAGAGGAAGCATTCTTGCTGCCGACACGGCGACAGCGACTGTCACAAGGACTCGTCAGGTGTGATCAGCTGATTCGCCTGGCCGTGAGAATCACGGCATGCGTGACCTCGCGCCTGAGTACTCATCTGAGCGAGAGTGAATCTGACGCGAGCAGCGCTGAGATGAACAAACCGAAACTGCGATATCGTGGAATGGAAATTGCTGCTGCTGGCGTATCGCCTATGGCGAGGTGTTGGTGTTCAATGGCGGTATTCTAGAGAGCCTACATTTCTTGTAAAGACATAGCCCTTACCTGATTGTTTATCGTACGACTTCAGCTCCATCACGAACTTGGTGTGCCCTTCGTGCTGTGATATTCGTGTATTTCATTCGCAATTGTATTTTCTCTCAACTTGAAGGGCTACCATGGGCGCTATCCTTGCCTGGACCTAGTCATATTTGAATTTTCTGGAGGCGTTCAGGCAAACAGATTTTGAAAATATGGTTTACCCATACCTACATCACATGGTTCTTGAGTTATTGCTGGTTGTGTGTACATGTATTTGCGTGACCACCCCTCGCATACATTGAGTTAGACCGGCAAAGGGTTAAAAATGGGGAATAATCATTGTCAAAAAAGCTCTTCGCCCGGCAAATTGAGCACTTTTCCAGCAGTTTACCAACATAGTCCTTGATTTCTTCATACAGTTAGTTTTCAGGAAATGCATTAGCAGAGTACTGTATATTGAAATGGCTGTTCCATAACCTGCCTTATCTCCTTGATCTGGGTGAGCTCCAGCTTGCAGTAGATGCAGAACGCAGTCGGCCTTGTTCTCAATAGTGGCATAGTGAAGTGGTGTCTGTTTATCCTGTGATACAGCCAGAGGTACAAACAGTGATTAACAAAAGAAAACCTATTCTGATTTCCATCACTGGTGTATCACTCTGATGATGTGATTACTGCAGTACAAGCAGTGATTAGCAAATGAAAACTTCTACTGACTTGCATAACTCAGGGGAAAACTGGTGTATCACTCTGATGATGTGATTACTGCAGTATAGTTGACAAATCAGACAGAGAAGTTCTCAGTCACATGAACTTGTACTTGTATGCCCACAATGCTGTCTGTACATGACATAGTGACTACACTAATTACCACGACAATCGTAGAAAAGAATGTTCATCAATTTACATTATCGGAAAGGTTTGGACTGGCTTTCCTGTCGAGAGATGCTGAATACAGTCGATATGACCCTGGCCACTGACATAGTGAAATGGTGCCTTTCCCAACTATAACACAAGTAAATGTTCAGTAACTAACAAACAAAGAGCATGGCTACTTGTGTGTCCACTATATTACATGTCACGATTACATAGTCTACACACTATACCCGAGAGACCTCTTTTGGGTAGTGGTGTATAACAACACCCTGAGGAAGGTGTACCATTGCAGCACAGGGTTGCAATTTCACAGTTTTGTTTGTTATTGCTTCATGAGATGCAACTTACCTCGTCAGGTTGGTTTGGATTGGCTTTGCTGTCCAGTAGATGCCGCATGCAGTCGATATGACCCAGCTCACTGGCATAGTGAAGTGGTGTCTTTCCCGACTATAACACAAGTATATGTTCAGCAAGTAACCAACAAAGAACATGGCTGACTATGAGAAAATTAATGATAGTACATATTGTATACCACATGTTCGTCTGTGGAGGATACAATATGAAGCAGGGCAAGTGACAGTTTTGAGCCTGTTGATTCCAGAAGACTTCCAAAAAACAAAACAAAAGTAAATTATCGTGTTCGTTCCCGAAGGGAGCTCACGACGGCCGCTAACACCCGGTAAACCCTAGCGGCAGATGCAGCGCCTAACGGTGGGGTGAGTGGATAAGTCCCACAACCACTTCCAAAGTCATCACCAAAATGTGCTCTCCGACTAACCTCATTCACACAACCAGCAATATGACACTCGGAGTTAGGGCACATACTGATTCCCTCACATAACAGTTTTCAATAAAACAGCGAAGGGTCCAATCAGGAGCTGTTTTGATTTAATTTTCATGCCGAAGAAGTCATCAGACAATTGGCATTAAAAAAAGGGGAATAATCATTGTCAAAAAAGCTCTTCGCCCGGCACATTGAGCACTTTTCCAGCAGTTTACCAACATAGTCCTTGATTTCTTCATAAAGTTAGTTTGCAGGAAATGTATTAGCTGAGTATATTGAAATGGTGTCCGTTTATCCTGTGACACAGCCATAGGTACAAACAGTGATTAACAAAAGAAAACGTCTTCCGACTTCCATCACTGGTGTATCACTCTGATGGTGTGATTACTGCAGTATATTTTACAAATCAGACAGGGAAGTTCTCAGTCACATGTACTTGTGTGCCCACAATACTGTCTGTACATGACATAGTCTCTACACTATCTAACACAATAATCGTAGAACTGAATGTTCATCAACTTAAATTATCGGAAAGGTTTGGGTTGGCTTTCTTGTGGAGAGATGCTGCATACAGTCGATATGACGTTCGCCATTGACATAGTGAAGTGGTGCCTTTCCCCACTATAACAAGTGAATTTTCAGCAACTAACAAACAAAGAACATGGCTACTTGTGTGTCCTCTATATTACATGTCACAATCACAATCAAAGTCTACGATTACATAGTCTACACACTATACCCGAGAGACCTCTTTTGGGTAGTGGTGTATAAGTGTGTGAAACATGAAGTTGCTACAGAGGAGTCTGAAAACCCTGAGGAAGGTGTATATACACTACCTATCACAATAACGGTCAAGCACATGTTTTCAACTTACATTATCGTAAAAGGATCAGCAAAAATGAATTAGTTCATCTCATATCTCCCCTTCACATCCCAGTATTCCTGTGGAGAATTGTGCAACGGTTAAGACCATTGCTCCACAGGGTAGCAGTTTCGCGGTTTTGTTTGTTAATGGTTCATGAGATACATCTTACCTCGTCAGGTTGGTTTGGATTGGCTTTGCTGTCCAGTAGATGACGCATGCAGTCGATACGACCCCCCTCACTGGCATAGTGAAGTGGTGTCTTTCCCGACTATAACACAAGTATATGTTCAGCAAGTAATCAACAAAGAACATGGCTGACTATGAGGAATGATAGTACACATTGTATACCACATGTTCGTCTGTGGAGGATACAATATGAAGCAGGGCAAGTGACAGCTCTGAGCCTGTTGATTCAAAGAAGACTTCCAAAGTCTTCCACCAAATGTGCTCGCCGACTAACCTCATTCACACAACCAGCAACATGACACTCGGAGTTAGGGCACATACTGATTTCTTCACATAACATTTTCAATGAAGGAGAGAAGGGTCCAATCAGGAGCTGTTGTGATTTCATTTTCATGCCGAAGAAGTCATCAGACAATTGGCATTAAAAAATGGGGAATAATCATTGTAAAAAAAGCTCTTCGCCCGGCACATTGAGCACTTTTCCAGCAGTTGACCAACATAGTCCTTGATTTCTTCGTACAGTTAGTTTGCAGGAAATGCATTAGCAGAGTATATTGAAATGTCTGTTCCATAACCTGCCTTATCTCCTTGATCTGGGTTAGCTCCAGCTCGCAGTAGATGCAGAATGCAGTCGACCTTGTTCTGAATAGTGGCAAAGTGAAGTGGTGTCCGTTTATCCTGTGACACAGCCATAGGTACAAGCAATGATTAACAAAAGAAAACCTCTTCTGATTTCCATCACTGGTGTATCACTCAGATGGTGTGATAACTGCAGTATATTTTACTAATCAGACAGAGAAGTTCTCAGTCACATTGTTGTGAAACCACAAGTTCTCGAGAGTGAAAGGCCTTCTCGCTTGTGACATTGTGTTCGTTCCAATGCAGTTGTATCCCGACTCCGCCGTACCGTTGATGTTTACGACGTAGTATACGCTACATGCGCTATGTGCCGTTTGCTGAGTGCGCTGTAGTTGTATGTTGTATGTGTATGCTTTTCTCATATACGCTGTCTTTTCACGCTATAACTACCTGGTGGTTTTAGTGTTAGTTATTCAGTTGTTCATTCATTCATTCATTGTTCATTGTTATTAGTCGATGGAAGTGAAATATACTGTTGAGAATAAATAGTTGTCCTCGTACCGTGTGGGGTCGTTCGTTCCTGATACTTTAGAGAACCAGAGGGTTCACAACACACATGTACTTGTGTGCCCACAATACTGTCTGTACATGACATAGTCTCTACACTATCTATCACAATAATTGTAGAACAGAATGTTCATCAACATACATTATCGGAAAGGTTTGGATTGACTTTGCCGTCCAGTAGATGCCGCATACAGTCGTTATGACCCTGGCTACTGACTTAGTGAAATGGTGCCTTTCCCAACTATAATACAAGTAAATGTTCAGCAACTAACCAACAAAGAACATGGCTACTTGTGTGTCCACTATATTACATGTCAAGATTACATAGTATACACACTATACCCGAGAGACCTCTTTTGGGTAGTGGTGTATAACTGTGTGAAACATGAAGTTGCTACAGTGGAGTCTGAACACCCGGAGGAAGGTGTATATACACTACCTATCACAATAACGGTCAAGCACATGTTTTCAACTTACATTATCGTAAAAGGTTTGATCAGCAAAAATGAATGAGTTCATCTCAAAGCTTCCCTTCACATCCAAGAATTAGTGTTTCTGTGGAGAATTGTGGAGTGGCTAAGGTGGCTCCTACCCCTCGGGCCCAAATTTTATTTTGTTTGAAACGTGGCTACAAACAATTGTACTTTGTTCTGCAGGATATCTTGTGTACGGAGACAAAATTTTATCAAGTTTTACTGGCCGGTTTCACTCGGGGGGAGGAGCCAAACATAGCATACTCACAATTGCCAATTTAGGCCAAAAAACACCGGAAAATCACTTTTTTGGCCGTAGCACTCGTAGTTACCCCATTTTTCTTGATGTCCAACATCAGGACAGTAGTATACTTGCTAAATACCAGCATCAACTTTAGAAGTGGGTAGAATTCTGCTAGAAGGTGACCTTTTTCTCTTTTCGGAATCATCCCATTTCAGCGCACATGTCCCACATATTAGCCCCGCCCACAAGTATTTGACACTGGACTTGCCCTGTATTCGATGGTTATGCTATCATAACCTAATAATGGTACTGTTTAGCAAGTCTGAGCAGGTTCTACCGAAGGTAACTCTTGAAATAAAACTTTGAAGTGTCAAGTGATGCCATATTTTCAAGAATCAGCACATTGCACTGGGACATTGTCCAACGCCTTAGAACCCCTGACTCCACCATATGACAGATACGTATCTTGCAATAATTGATTGCAACATCTTCAGAACATAGTAGTAGAGCTTTGGATCAAGTTTTAGCAGTTTCCACCGAAGCTAACTACCGTATGAACTCTTTTACGCACTTTACTTGTATGCATGCACGTGCCGTTGCGACACTTGTTCACGCCTGCCATGTGGTCTTTACACTCCGAGCATGCGGGCCCTTCAGGTACGCATGCGAGGAACTGATCATGGTTGTTCTGGTTTTCGTTAGTTAGGAGTTTGTTTGCACGAAATGAAGTAGAAGCCTTTTCGGTGTGTGTAGTTCTGTTGTTGTCGGACCTGGATGGTTGCTGTGCGATACACCCAAAACATGGTGGCAGCGGTGTTCTCGCGGTGCTAGCTTTCGGTTTTCTGTCTCCGTTTTCCGCGGATGGATCCGAAAAAATCCAAGCCTCACGTCACGAAAGTAAATCCACCTCGTCCAGGTATCATGAGTTCTGACAACTCGGAGTCTCAAGCTTCTACCTCCGCCGCAACTGCCTCCGCCAGTCCGGCCGTAGATATCTCCGCGTTCTCGCAGCTGCCTCAGCTCCTGCAGGCTATGATACAGCAACAGCAACAGCAGCAGCAACACCTCCAGCAGCAGACCACCGTTTCGACTGCTCTACTTCAGCATCTGTCTCAGCCGAGTCAGCTTCCCGCTCCGGCTTCGGTTTCTCCCGGGAATTTTCCCAAATTACAGCCTTTGGAGGACACCGACGATGCGGAGGCTTGGTTCCTTACCGCCGAACGCCTGCTCATTGGTTACGGCGTGCCTCCCGATCGGCGAGCCTTGGCGATCGTACCCCACCTCAAGGGCAAAGCTCGCAGTGCTTACAATAATCTGCCCGTGGGTGACTCGAAGGATTTCGTTCTCATCAGAACTGCAGTACTCGCGCGTTTCCGATTGGACGCGGAGGAGTATCGCCTGAAGTTCAGGTCCATAAATTTGTCCTCGCCTGGCGAGACGTACATGGAACTCCACCACCGGCAGAGGGATTTGTTCGAAAAATGGATCACTCACGCAGTTGCGTCTGGGGGCACAATCGATGTTCCGTTCGTGACTGACCAGATAGTGCGCGAGCAGCTGCTCTCCACCCTGCCTGCGGAAGTGCGCCAGCATGTACAGGAGCAACCACGAGTGAGTGCTACTGACACGGCCAAGCTGGCTGACGCGTTTGCGCGCGCGCAGTCAGACCTGAGCCGGACTGCTCCACCGCTAGGAGGTGCTCCAGTAACAGTACACGCCGTCCAGCATCGTGGGTCATCTGGCAAACCTACGTCCTCCGAACGTGGTTCCACCTCTAACGCCTGTGGATACTGCGGAGGCAAATCCCACGCACGCTCAGCCTGCCCGGCACGCGAAAAAACGTGCAACAAGTGCAACAAGCGCGGGCACTACGGCGCTGTCTGCCGCTCATCCCGCCATGCCCATGCGCTATCGGCCGAGTCTTCGCCGGGCACCGATGCCGTCGCTTCTCCCAGCTCCGTGTCTGAGGAATCTATTGATCTGGTCCCCATCTACGTTGGTGCCGTATCCGCGCACCCTCCCAGCTGGCAGGTTCAGCTCACCATCAATGGCACCACCGTTCCATTCAAAGTCGACACCGGTGCCGATGTGTCTGTCATCTCCGAGGAGGTCTACAACTCCCTTAGCAAATCCCCGCAGCTCCAGCCTTGCCGGCACGTTCTCGTCAGTGCAGCCAACACCAACCTCGAGACATTGGGCCTCTTCTCCGCGCGGCTCGTCTTTCCCACCTCTGGTTCTTCACACACTTGCACCGTGTACGTTGCCAGAGGCCTGCGCGTATGTCTCCCAGGGGGCCCTGACTTCGTCGCTCTTGGTCTAATCAAACGTTTGTTCTCCAGCGACACCGCGTCCGCTACACCACTTTCGACCGCTCCGGAGCCCAGTCAATCCACGGACGATGCGCCGGGTAGCTACTCCTCAGCTCCCGCCGGGTCAGAACCTCTGCCTCTGACGACACCTGGCGACGCTATCCCACAAGACATACGGCAGGAATTTCCGTCACTCTTCTCTGGTCTTGGGTCACTCAACGAGCCGTACAACATCGAGCTCTCACCTGATGCCAAGCCATCGTGTCTCTACGCTGCGCGAAACATCGCACTGCCGCTCCGCTCTAAAGTGGCCACCGAGCTTCAGCGCATGGAACAGCTTGGTGTTATCCGCCCTGTCGTGGAGCCCACTGACTGGTGTGCTGCAATCGTGGCCGCACCTAAGTCCAACGGCACGGTACGCATCTGTGCTGATCTGAAACCTCTGAACGAAGCCGTCCGACGGTCACACCATCAGCTGCCAACAGTAGACAAAACTCTTGGCCAAATTGGCGACTCAACGGTGTTCACGAAGCTCGATGCCAACAGCGGGTTTTGGCAGATCCCGCTGGACAGCCCCTCCCAGCTTCTAACCACCTTCATCACCCCCGCTGGTCGGTTTTGTTACACGAAGTTGCCGTTCGGCATTTCCTCTGCGCCTGAGATATTCCAGCAGCGCATGTCGAAGATCCTGGCTGGCCTGGAGGGTGTGGTCTGCCAAATTGACGACATCATCATCCATGGCCGCACTCGTGCCGAGCATGATAGTCGTCTCTACGCGGTGCTCCGACGCCTGGTGGGTGCAGGGCCCACCCTCAATCCGTCGAAGTGTGAGTTCGCCGCCTCCGACCTGTCCTTCTTGGGAGTGCGGCTCACTGCTGCCGGCATTCAACCAGGTGACAGCAAGACCTCTGCTATCCAGCGCTTCCGTCAGCCTCAAACCGTCTCAGACATCCGCAGGTTCATGGGTCTGGCGAACCAACTGGGAAAGTTCTCTCCCAATCTCGCCGCCCTCAGCCAGCCACTGCAAGAGCTGTTGTCTAAAGGTCGCGCATGGACTTGGGATCAACCACAGCAGGCAGCCTTCGACAACATCAAGGCAGAGCTCTGCAAGCCAGCCTGTCTGCAGCGCTACGACCCCAACTACGACACCAAACTATCTGCCGACGCCTCGTCCTATGGCCTCGGTGCCGTGCTCTACCAGCGCCGGTCCTCAGATGATGAGTGGCGTCCCGTCGCTTGCGCATCCCGGTCTCTCACATCGGCCGAGCGCAACTACGCCCAAATCGAAAAGGAAGCTCTCGCGATCACTTGGGCTGTTTCCCGCTTTGACACTTACCCGCTTGGCATGGCGTGCTTCCTCATCGAGACGGATCATAAGCCTCTCGTACCTCTTCTCAGCACGAAGCGCCTACACGATCTCCCAGCGAGAGTCCTGCGCTTCCGACTCCGCCTGGCACGATATCACTACCAGATCATTCACGTTCCAGGGAGCTACCTCACCAGCGCCGACGCTCTCTCACGCGCCCCTCAAGACGACTCCCCGAGTCGGGATGACATCACCATTCAGGCTGAGTGCGACGTGTCCGCTACTATCACAGTCGAGAATCTAGCCGATCAGACCGTCCCGACGCAGCAGGTTAGAGACGCCCAGCAACAGGACGCTACATGTCAGCAGCTGCGAACCCTCATCCTCGACGGCTGGCCCTCCGCTATCCGCGATGTACCGCAGCCCCTCCGTGAGTTCTGGCCTGTCCGCTCTGACCTCGTCCTGCTCGATGGCCTGATTATGAAAGGCTCCCGGATCTATATTCCCCAGTGCTTGGTGGCCGATACTCTTCAGCGTCTTCACGCCGGTCACCAGGGCGTCACCCGTACAACCCAACGCGCCACAGTGTCAGTCTGGTTTCCTGGCATCACCGCACGCATTAAGGCTCTCGTGCAAGATTGTAGCACTTGCAAGGCCTTCCGCCCGCCGCCGGTCGAGCCACTGCTCGCTCACCCCACACCGCCTCGCGCGTGGCACACCATTGGCGTGGACATCTGCCAGCTCGACCGCGCTCAGTACCTGGTGGTGGTGGACTATTATTCCCGCTATCCAGAAATTGCATCCCTCACTTCCACGACATCAGCACGGATCATCGACCATCTCCACTCAATCTTCGCCCGACATGGCATTCCAGCAGTCCTTCGATCGGACAACGGTCCCCAGTTCTCGTCCGCTGAGTTTGCCCAGTTTGCAACCAGGGCCGACTTCCGTCACATCACGAGTAGCCCTCACTACGCACAATCGAACGGCGAGGTTGAGCGTGCTGTCCGCACCGTGAAGGCGTTCCTGAAGAAGTCCGCCTCAGCAGCTGACTTATATGATGCCTTGCTGGCATATCGGTCGACACCCCTCAGTTTCGCGCCATACAGCCCGGCGGAGCTACTCATGGGTCGCCGCATCGACACGCCGGTTCCATCACAGTCAGCCCAGCTCCAGCCCAGCTCAGTGGACACGGATGCCTTCCGTGCAGCCGACACAGCGCAACGCCAGAAGTCCGGAGCTCAGTACGACCTGCGGCACAGAGCGACTATCCTGCCCGCTCTCCCCCCAGGCGCGGACGTGATCGATGTCTCGACTCCAGGTCGCCGGGAGAGGGGTACAGTGCTAGCAAGATCAGCCGAACCCCGATCCTACATAATCCAGTTGTCATCTGGACAAGTACGACGAACCCGGCATCACCTGATCGCTATCTGACTCTCTCTCTCTCTCTCTCTCTCTCTCTCTCTCTCTCTCTTCCAGTCACTTTCTCACTGTGTGTTCGAGCACGTATGCACGTGCGTTTGTGTGTGCGTGCCGATATGTGTCTGTCTTTCTCTCGCTTTCTCTCTATTCCTATTGCTACTTCGAAGTAGTACCTTTACGCGGCGGAATAGTAGGCTTTGACTCCTCACGCTCTGGTTGGGCGATCCTGGATTAGGACGCTACTCTCAACCTCCTATTTCCTGGTCGCTCAATCATAACGCATTGCAAGAGTCCTTGTTCTCTCATGTGTATTGGCCCGCCGTCTTACTCAGTATTGTTTCTACCGTTCCGCATGTTTTTCACTTTCCCATCTTTAGTTCCTCTAGTTCCCCAGAGGGGGGAGATGTAGTATGAACTCATTTACGCACTTTACTTGTATGCATGCACGTGCCGTTGCGACACGTGTTCACACCTGCCATGTGGTCTTTACACTCCGAGCATGCGGGCCCTTCAGGTACGCATGCGAGGAACTGATCATGGTTGTTCTGGTTTTCGTTAGTTAGGAGTTTGTTTGCACGAAATGAAGTAGAAGCCTTTTCGGTGTGTGTAGTTCTGTTGTTGTCGGACCTGGATGGTTGCTGTGCGATACACCCAAAACACTAACTACCGAAATAGAACTTTGAAGTCGCCCACATACTAAATGCCATAGCTGAGCATGTGCATTGTGTGTATGCAGGCGCGTGCTCGGCGATGGGCACGGGGGGCACGTGCACCCCCCAAAAATTTTCAATCTGGTTAATTGCAATTGTAATGTATGCAAATATGCTCTAAAATTCAAGAAAGGTTGCAAACAAATTGCAGAAAATTGCCGGGGGGGGCTCCCCTCGGCTCCCGTGCACCCCCCTAGTTGGGGGGCCGAGCACGCCCCTGGTATGGTCTAAAGGTTTTCCCAACTAGCTCCAATGCGGCAGATACGTGTCTTACATTACTTGATTGCAACATCTTCAGAACATAGTAGTTGAGCTTTGGATCAAGTTTAGACAGTTTCTACCGAAGCTAACTACCAAAATAGAACTTTGAAGTCGCCCACATACTAAATGCCATACATGTAGCTGAGCATGTGTATTGAGTGTACATGTATGCTCTAGTGTTTTTCACAACTTTCTCCAACATGAAGCCAATACTGATGTGGAATTTTTTGACTGCTTTGTCCAAAACACAGTGCTGAAGCAATGCACATTGGGCACTTTCTACTGGTAATGCAATTATTATTATACAGTGTTTGCTGCCAACATAGCAAGCAATTAATGCGTATTCCATTGGGTACGGTCAAATGGCTTTTCAATTCGCATCTAGCCACTCTTCTTCGTGCATTTCTTGAATGCTTAGTCTCCGTGGTAATGAAGCTAAGAGCCACACTGGAGAAGTTTCTACTGAAGCTAACCGTATCAAAAATATAAAATTTCCAAGATGCTACTATTACATAAAGTAGCTGTGTGCAATGCCACTCTGTTGAACACAGTAAGCAAAATTGAGTCACTAAAACCCTATTTGCCAGATATAAGCTGTTGAGACTGATAGCAGCTAAGCTGTATGATCTGATATGGATGGCGGTTCCACACTGACCAGCACATGTACACGTGCACAGGCAGAAGAACATACAAGTAATACACCTAACGTTACTTCGAAGTCCATCATGTAAATACAAGCGTATATACAAGCATCACTCCTGTTCTCCACAGCCTGCAGTCCTGGGCCACTCCAGCTGGTCAGAGTGCAATAATTTCTGCAGCAGGCTTGACTTGGAAAGCTAATCACAACTGCCATGGCTGCAACATGAGTATTACCAGCGCTTTTACAGCGCTACTTGTATTATATTATTGTCAATCCATTGTGGTGCATGGCACTCGTTTTCAACAACCGAGTTTATGTCATTAGTTGCATATCCAACGCCAATAGAAAAAAGAAGGGGTGGGGCAAATTACCACGGTTCAACACTAGTCATATTGAACGGCGTTATGCCATGCCAGGGGCGCACACAAAACGCCCGCGCGAGTGCGCATGCATGTACACACCCGGGTAACACACATTTGTGCGACTTTACATAGCCTGCACTGTCGTTCTATGTCATAGGAGTGAGTGCACACACATATATATATATATATATGTACATGTAGATTGCCTAATTTTGCATACGTAATAAAATTGTGTAAGTATACACACATGTGCGTGCACATATAGATAGACTCAGCGGCGTACGCATGAGTGTGTGCCGATAGGGCCACATGCCAATTATCGGATTAGTCTGTGAAAGTTGCACGGCACGACAAACTTTCGGACAGTCTAAATATATGACACAATGAATGTGGAATACCCACCAGTGTGTAAGACCATTTCATACCTATTTCGCAGCGTTTGTGATTTTCGGAGCGTCCCTGTTGATATTTGATGTCTTCACTTGGTTGATGACACAGTCACAAATTATCAAATTCACCTCCAATGCCATCCAATCTGCGTTCCGCGATACATGTACAGTGAACGGTGTTGAGGAAAGTCATGCAGCAATAAAACAGTCGAGACTCCCAAGCAGAGGATACAATTCAACAGCGTATTGAAGTACGAATTGTTGTAAACAATTTTCAAGACACAATTACAAAATTTGAAGTGCGTCTTGAAACGTGTTTGAAGTGCTTCGATGTATTTACCTTCGATCTCCCTGAATCGATCCATCCACAGCTACCCGAAGAATTTACCAGTCAGTGCGGGAGATGATCGAGCAAGTTATATTTGAAGGTCGCGAGATGTCAGTGGCACTGGCAGGAAATCTACACCGTTGAAGCGTATTCTGAAATAATTTTCTAAGACTCAGGCGTGATTCAAGAGCGGACTTTTATTTCTCCCTTCTTATAGTACGAGCACCAGTCGACATTGCATTCTTGGAAAATCTTCTGCGAGTGCTGCCTTCCCCTTTCATAGAAAGAACGAGTGAAGAGGGACACTAGCAGCAGGTTCTAGCTACACTGTAGGTCGCCAGAATTGCAGAAAAGCGAGAAGACGTTTTCTAAAACGATTGATCGCACAAAAATCATCGCTACCGAAAAATTAACTGAAAATCTACACTTTTCAAACGATGCGCGCGCAGAGGGTGTGAGCCACCTTAAGACCATTGCAGCACAGGGTAGCAGTTTCACAGCTACTTTTGGCTGTAAATGTTTCATGAGATGAAACTTACCTCGTCAGGTTGGTTTGGATCAGCTTTGCTGTCCAGTAGATGCCGCATACAGTCGATATGACCCCGCTCACTGGCAAAGTGAAGTGGTGTCTTTCCCCCCTATAACACAAGTGAATGTTTAGCAAGTAGACAACAAAGAACATGGTTCACTATGAGAGCTGATTGTACGCATTGAATGCCACATGTTCATCTGTGGAGGATATATTGATATGAAACACGGCAAGTGGCAGCTTTGAGCCCGTTGATTCCAGAAGACTCCTAAAGTCCTCACCAAATGTGCTCTCCGACCAACCACATTCACAACACAAGCAACATGTCATTCCGAGTTATGACATAATTATAATGATTCTTCACATAACTGTTTTTGATGAAAGAGAGAGGGGTGTAATCGGGATCTGTTGTGACTTGTTTTTTGGAATAACCATTAAGCAATAAGCATTAAGCATTGAATACTTTTCCAGCAGTTTGTCAACATAGTCTGAGATATATTTATATAGTAATGTGCTCACTATTTTGTATTTTGCTACTTCGTTGCCATAGTGATTATTCAGAACCAATCAGGTTTAGAAGAGCACAATGCTCCAGTGGTTTTTCTTCCCTAATAACATATTCGTGAACTTCATTCTTGTGTCACGTTACTCCTTCCTATAATAGTACCAAGAGTATAACCCCCAAGAGGGTGCAGCACTGCATATGGGGTCTCCGACGGCAAAAACTCACATCACGTGTCTCAGGTACGTTCGTACTATGTACAAAAGAAGGATAGCATGCGAGCAATCGGAATGTCTGCCATGATCATGCTGGGGATTTGCATACCCGCAGTGAGTTTCTGTCGGAGAGTGATTTTTTATTACTCCGCTGCTCGCTAAAACGAGCTGGAAACGTACAACTGCGACACTACACCACGTGATGTGAGTTTTCGCCGTTGGTGTACCCCATAGAAAGGGTATCAGGAGTTGTACACTCTTGGGAGCTTATAATATTATACTCTTGATTATACTCCGCATAAAACTATAGTAATGTCCTATGAAAGTGTCTTAGAAAAGGACCGTTTATCCAGAGCAGCTAGCACGCCATATACTGTCTTTGCTGCTTTCTGAGTAGATCTATCTGTCAAGTGGCTGTTAAGAAACTCACAGGCTTGCAGGCTGGCCAGCAAGAAACTTGGAGGAACTGAGCTGTGAATGGAGCTGTAACCGACTAACAAGTTATCCCTATACCTTCAGGCATGCAGTGTGATGCATGTCACAATAGGCATAACACACCCATATACCAAACAATAATTATCCGTGACTCTGAGCCTATTGGCATAACAGATGTCTCACGATCGTGAGACCAACCCTGCTTACGAATTACACTGGATACTAAGGATTTATTCCCGTAGCTATGCAAAAGACATTACTTAATTTAAAAATAACGTCTGGTGCTAGCTAGGGTCCACACCACTTTAATGCCGTCATTGTTTGTTGTGTCGTCAGGCCTGGCGCTATCCCTTTTAAAAGTGTCCCGTATCGTATCATCAAAGACAGCTGGCCATCTTATTCAAATAGGGCTTTCAACTGCAAAATCATAACGTGAAGCAACTTGGAAGAATGTGTATGTATGCGAAGTGTATCGTGTATTGGGGTAATGCATGCAGGCGATAGTGCTGGTTCGAATCCCATGTTTTGGTTTTAAAAAACTTAGGAGAAATGAAAAAGAAGCCTCATTTCACGAAGGATTTATTGAGACGGATATCGGATCCACATTGTTCGCACAGTGTTCGCACAGTGTTCGTAGGAATTCCGCATTGTTCGCACAGTGTTCGCACAAGTGTTCGTAGGAATTCCGCCTGCAGATCGGTCAGTAGATCCAGATCTGTCTCGCTAGAATGTCTCCAGAAGCTGGAGTTATCAGTAGGGCAGATTTTTGCTTCCGTCGAGAGTTTATGTCCCGATTCGATCTGGCATCAAGGAGACCGATCTGTGGGTATCGATGTTCGAGGGCGAAAAAGAGTCAGGCCCGGACAAGATGCAATCTCCGGCAGATTATGTGACTCCCTCTCTCATTCTACACGACATCCTCTACAGTTCTAACGCATACCTCTCCTCCCTAACATCAGCCCAAAGACGGTTCCATCAGTTCGAATAACATGCATGGTGAGCTAGGCAAAAACACATAGCGTAGGGCACTGAGCTTTCAAGCTCTCTCGTCATGTTCAGACACACATTCAGACACATATTTACACGCACATTCAGATACACGTGTGCCCACAGGAACCATGCCGACCAAAATTTATATCTACTCGAAGTATCATAAAACTGGTTTCCTCACCTGATCAGTCACGTTCGGATCCGCACCAGCATCGAGCAAATACTGTAAACACTTAGCGGAGCCTCGATTAACAGCTACATGAAGAGCACTACCGTAGAAGGATTCCTGCCGGTAAAATACCAACAAGTAGAAATACAACATACAGAGCAGATACTGAAAGTGATGACATTAGAAGGCAATTCTAATGACTTTTGAATCGATGTGGGTCCCTAGTTGCCGGAGTGGTGGTTCTGTGCAGTACCGTAGTCTGTCATACTGGCCACTGGATATGATGCACACACCTGGTACTATTTACCCTGTCATGAAGATTACACGTGATTCATTCAACACCCTACTTGAAGTACAATTTTAACAGTGAACACCTACAAATATTGCGGAAAAGTTGTATCCATCCTAACTGTAGCTGAAATGGAACCTGGTGGGAAAGACCCCATTCTCAATCAGGCACGTGCACGTTATGTGTTTTTGGTGTCCGGAAACCACCTTTTTTGGCTAATCTTGAAAAAGAAAAGGTGTGTCCACTCAACCAACCACAGGCAGTTTACGCAACAGTGGCTATGTCCTTATTTCAAAGTGAGAGAAAGAGAGTTGCTTCACTTTCCGCTCAATCTTCTCTCCTTCTTCAGTGGAGAGTAGCTACAGAGATCGATATCTGATCCGCTCCTGGACTGGCAGTGACGTTCAAGAAGTCTGCTTTGTCTCGAAACTTGAGTCAAGCACGCACGGTGCACATTGAGTTGATGGACAAGCCAGAGAGCACTTTTGCAACCTTGCAACTGATTACATCACTCCCTTGAGGTTCACGGTAAACCGTATGTATACTCTCCGGCATCCAGACATCTTTAGGTGTGGCCTGGCCTCACCTGGCTAGGGCCCAACTGCGGCCGGTACAAAAGTCGTTTTCGAAGAATGCTCTGGTATTAAGCGTTACAGCGGCGCCATCGCTCAAGTCACGCCATGCTAAGTTATTGTTTACCACATAACAAGTAGACACGAAAATATTCCCACAGCACGAAATTGTCCATGCACATCCGGAACCTCAAGAAATCAAACACCCAGTACGAAGTCTATTGGAGAGTAAAGTATGGTGGCCCTGCGTACATCAACATCACCTAGTGATATTCCCTCTACACTAGAGAAAAGTACATACTCAGTCAACACGATAAATCAACATCTAGTCTCAACCAGTGCTCGGAACTCATGTCCAAATGCTGGCATGAGAACAAATATTCCTCAGCCTCGACAATGTCACATAACTGTCCCCACCTCGACAGCCTCCTGACTACACCAGCCACACACCCTGCACCGATATAACCGCGACTGCTAGGCTTGAAACTAACACAACCAACACAGGGCATGCACACAGTTGTTTTTTCTCCTTTTTGATACTCATCATGCTTCTCTCTCTTTCCTCTCCTCTGGTTCCTTATCAGGAACATTATGCTGACCTTTCAAACAAACTTCCAGTCCACTGCCCCATCATGCAGGTGGTTTATATTGGGCATACAAACCCCATATATACCCTATTATAAACCTCATATATACCACCACAATATACACTCCTTTTTAGAGATTGGAGGAAACTAGCTTCAAAGTGTTGTCAAATCACCTAGGCAGAAGGGGATGGGTGAGAACGCTTACGCTTTAACTTCTTGCGAGCGACAGCAGCACGCTCTGTGTGAATATTGAAAACAATGGAGCTGCCATTGAAAGTGGTGGAAGCAGCATTTAGATAAGGAGAAACAGCAGAAGCAGAACACTGACCAGCAGAGGAAACAGAACTCTGAGCAGTAGAAGAACAGCTCTGAACAGGGGTGGGAGTAACAGGCTGCGCAGAATGGTATGACATGTCAGCAAGAGGCGGTCGCAAATCGATAGCTTCAGCAATGGAACAGGAATCTTTCAAGGTGGGCCTTTCATAAATGGTAAGAGATTGAACATTTCGATGCCCAGAAACAGAAAAATTCGCCTATCATCTACTCCACATTTCTTCTACGGTTGGAAATAGATGTTGCTCTTACACAGTGATTTGTATAAAGCATGGACAAATTAGCATCTGCAGACAAACGCTTCATCATACCAGATAAAATATTGTGTGAGAGAGGCATTTTTATGAACCAGCAGTTGGCAGAATCGGCCATCTCACCTGATAGCGCTCGCTGGAACAAGCGGTTTTCATCGTAATGTAGCCTGGACAGATAGCTCTTGATTGCCGAGAGCTGAAACTCATCACGGATAACACCAACAGAAGACCAGTCAGAGCCTTGAAGTCCGCCTTGGTGGTTTTGGAAACAAATGATGCTGCGATCCGCAAGACTTCCTGGCCACTGATGGTCGTGAATTGGAGATCGTCCTTTGTCAGCTTTGCTTGCATTTCTCCACCCCTCAAACAGAAGTGGATGGTTAGCTGGAACCACACGAATTATGTCAGCTTGCCCACATCCATTGTCTCCAGTACATCGGAGAAGTATTCTCTTGGAAAGACCAGTCTTTTTCGCATAGAGGCTGCTTGTGTTGAACTGTAGGCTCGTGACTATCGCGTTTGCGTGCTTTCAACACTCTGTCCAGGACTTTGTTAGCCCTTGAGAAAGCACTGTCGTTGAAGATGTTGATCTGCATCGAGAATGATATGTGACGCTGAAGAGCACCACGTGCAGATGGAAGACTGTTTTTTTGCACACCCAGAACCATCCTTCTTCCTTGCATTCTCGTAGAAGGATGAGAGAACATCACAAAGTCTTACACATGTGACTGTTTTGAAATCAACGACACCTAAAGGCTCGTCACCACTCAAACAAAACCCATCAAACAATCGCAGCCAGTACTGAGTAGACACACGAGTGTTCTTGGGAACACCCTCAGCTATTAGCTTGGTCTGGTCATCGTAGCTGATAGACCCGAAAACACGCTTCTGGCGACAGGTACGTCCAAGAACTGGAACAAGTCCAAGATGATGGCCTTGTGCTTGGCCGCCAGGAAGGAGCTTGGTGGGCAGATGTCAAGGAAGTCATCGAGGTAATGCATTACGTCGGGCAAGGAGCCGACATGGACAAGGACCCAGTTGATAGCCGTTGCCAGCTGGTTGAAGATGAATGGTGAGGAGCGGAGACCAAATGTAAGGACCTTCTCGTAATAGTACATGCTGTTCGAACGGATGCCGAGAAGATCACACGAAGTTTTCCATTGGACTTCGGCACAACACCCAGACCAGATGTCTGCATGCACAGAAAGGGTGGCTCCGGAAATGGACCTGCTGTTTGCCCCGCTTCACAACATTCGGTCAAATAGGAAGAAACATACTGCATATTACGGATGGCCGACAGGTGATTGGGAGAACTATGAACACCAGATATAGCAGCAGAATGGCCTATCGTGAAACCGTGAAACAACCCATGGAACACAAAGTCAGAGAAGGAGTGATCAAAATGAACCACACTTGGCTTCTGGGTGCTTCCCGCGGCATTGAAGGCACACGTGGGCACGATAGCAGAATGAGTTGTTGCACTGTTCCCTGTTGAAGTTCCGGCAGATAGGCTTCCCAAGATCGGTTGGCACGCTCCGACGGATGGAGGCCCTGATCTAAAGGGACACCGGGCCTGGGCCACTGGGTGCACCAGAGAACAGCGCGAACATGGCGGGCGACCGCGGCTGGTGAATGACGACTGCCACAAATTAGAAACGATGATAGCCCAGTCGTACGACAGTGGTTGGGAGGCTATGGCGCGCCGGAAACGCCTGTCATAACTTAGCCATGCGTCCACATGATACGAGTTATTTGCATCCAGAAAAGTGGCCTGATATGCCAGCAAATCATTTTGCCCTATCTGGAGCCGCCATGACAATTATTCTCGTGTAGACAGTAAACGCCTCGAGCCATGACGCTACATCGTGGACATGGCGGCGCTGGGCCTGAGTTGGCTTCTGTACAAGTTGGACAGAGTGGTTGTCCCCCACAGTTAGCTGGACCACATCGGGCTCCACAATCAGCTGGTCCGGGAGGAGGTCGTTGAAATCAATAAACTCGCCGCGTTCAATTCGCCCGCGGAGTTTATCAGGTACAGAGAGCGACGGACGAGCAGCCGGCGGATGGCCCAATGCATGAACGGAGCTGGAGTTGACAGGCGGCACGACGGCTGCAGCAGATTCCAACTACTCTACTCGCTCCATCAGGGGCTGGAGGACCTGGCCGGGGGCCTGAGAAACAGCCAAAGCAAGTACATCAGGGGCCACACTCAAGGCGGCGGCAGAAGAAACTGACGGCGCAACGTCGGAGACAACAGAATCCGAGTGGGGAGGTATTGGAGTTCTGGGCGGTTGAAGACGAACAGGCTTTCGCCGCACACGCACATTACATCCTGTATCCGAAGGTTTCTGAATTTGAAAGCTGACTGCAGGCAAGGAAACTGGAAAGACAGCAAGCTCTGTTGTGCGCACAGGAAATCTGCGCATGCGCAGAGCGTGGGCATGTGATGTCTATGATATACAGCAGTATGTAGAGAGGGCAAGATCGTGCACACATGTAAGGAGGGTCATGCAACCCGTTATAAAGGCCAACAGTGAAGCAATGGTACGTGACTGGTAACAACGGTTAACTCCTATGTTAACCGAACATTATGTGTTGCCCGTACAAGTGGCCCTGCCATAGGTGTTTTGAAGGTCATCAGTGTTCTTCTAAACCATGGTCCATTACACTTACACTTATAGTACACTTACCTGTAATCTCGGAGAAAGAGTGAAAATGTAATACCCTAGATGGTTCAGCAAGTGCTTGTCAACAGTGCTCGCCAAGAACTTGACAACAGAAGTAGCATTGTGGAAACAGGCATCCCTCAGTAACCTTGCCTGCAAGAAAACATAACACAGCACAGTAGAACAGAGTGCACTGAAGTTAAGAACAAACAACAGAGAAGAGAGCACTAGGCAACTAGTCTTCTCAGTACTAACAACTAAGGACGAGAATATCTCGCCATGAAACAATTCAGCATGCCAACTAGCAAATGATAATAAATATAGTGGAGTGCCGACTACTCACATCCCTTGGTGTGCAGGCTGTTTCCAGGGGGTTCGAATAAAGAGAATGGTCGGATAAGGGAGCAGTCACACATAAT